GAATGCCACCACCTAGCCAGCAGCAAACCAAATCGCAGGCTGCAGGGCTTTGGCAACTGATCTTGGGCAAAAGTGAAACATCATGAATCTAAGCAATAGCTACATGGGCAAAATAAACGGGGGACTTACAATTATCTGCTTCTGGCAGGAGTCCGACTTACAGAGGCGCTTGGGAATGATAAATAAATGGTTTTTAAAAAAAAGAAAAGGCAAAAGCATCCAGAGTGATGTGATAATTCACACATTTAATTTGCTCAGAGACTATTTCAGTCATCCTTTCTGGCCCACACACACCCATGTCTCATCTGTAAGTGGGCTGGCATTTATGAGAAAGGATACAAAAACACTCATCTACTAAAGGAAGAGTTCTTTCAGATGATCCTACTTGTTCTGGTGTGAGATGCTCAATGGAGAATGTAAGAAGACAAGAGTGAATAGACAAGTGACGTTGCAGCTGGCTGTCAGCCAAACTTCCTCATTCACTGGCAGAAGCCTATTAGGCTGTAATTCCTTGAGTACATGGGCCATGACTTCCACTTCCTTGGCACTCTTGCCGTGCACCTAGTGCAATAGTCGGCATGAGTCTGATTGTAAACAGTGAGCTATTCATCATTCAGACCCGAAATATCTCCCCTCTGAACAAGGACCAGGTACTGTAATATGGAAGGCCAGACACACTCTGTTTATTTGGTTAATTCTCTCCTGATTCATGCACACTTTTACTTTATGGCTAGATTGCTATACCTTCAGTGGGCAGGGCATCATGCTGACCTGTAGCCAGAGTGGGCCTGCAGCCTGTGCCACAGTATCTCCCCTTCAGACCTCTGAAGCCAAAGAATGGACATGGATGAGGCATGGTACCAGTCGCAAAGGATCTTCTGGCTCATTTGTTTCATTACTATATCAGGTCAGCTCAGCTTCTATATAATTAGTTCAAAATTGCATTGTAAAGAAAAATTATGTGGCTAAAAACATGTTTCTACATGTATTTTCATGCACATGTATACACATAATGTATATAAAAATAATCAAAATCAGCTGAAATTTGCAAAGATGACAATTTCAGAAATATTATGAAGCTATAATTTTCAGAGGCAAGGAACATTCAAATATTGTGCAGTTAACTTGCAATTTTAGTGAAAACATTTCTGTCTTTTAGGACGTCTTCCCTCCTTCCCTCCAGTTTCATTAGATTTCGTATTTCTCCGTCTCCTTTATGAGAATCACATGTGACTCTAGGTCTTCCATGTTACCTCTGCTGCTTGCCGATCACTGGTCACTTGATGAGGCTCTGAATCACTTTTCAATTAGGGGCAATTAATCTTATTTCCAGAATTCAGTTGACTGTCTAGACACATTTTGGTTGTCACAACAGGATAAGGTGTTCCTGCCAACTGCTGGGTAGAGGCCAGACATGCTGGCAAACTTATTAGAGTACAGTGAGTTATTTCCCACAAGGGCTTGCCTGACCTAAACATCTGTAAACCTGAGAGAGCAACCTTGGCCCCAGCCACAGCTGGCCTTCTGCTTGAGCTGAGCCTGGATCCCTGAGTGACTCTGTGGAGCAAGCACATCCTACTAACCCACATCTCTGATTAGTCACCACTAAGTTGTCACCATCTTCCCCTCTCAGGCCCTAACACAGAATTAATCATTCTGTTAAGCCCCAAAACATTAGAATTGGGTTTTTTTCTTTTTAAAGTATTTATTTATTTATTTATTTATTTATTTGTGTGTGTGTATGTGTGTGTGTGGTGTGTTGTGTATTCTTGTACATACACAAGGAGGTCAGTGGATAACTTGTGGGAACTGGTTCTCTCCTTTTACCATGTGGATCCCAGGGATTAAACTCAGGTCATTAGGCTTGGCAGCAAGCAGCTCTACCTGATGAACCACCTCACTGGCCCAATACAGTTGCTGTTAAGACAATGACCCCCCACACTGACTCATAAATACAGGAAGGAAGGCAAATAGTGTAGAGGAAGGCTCAGAGGTGTGTCTGCAGAATACAGGAAAAGGCAAGAGAAAATGTATTTTGTTTTTCTTGTTTGAGAGTGTCATCATAGTAACTGAAATCCTGGCATTTTCTCCAAAGAAATGAATTCTTCAGGTATGGTCACTGAGAAAGTCATATGCGTAGGAAACAAAAGACCCACCAGGCACTGAAGCAACTGAGTAAGGAAGACAGTGATTCCCACACTTTGCACAACACCATGCTGACTCCCTTTACCATTTTACAAGTGACCAATATGTATTCCAAAGATATCACTGAATATAGATGCTCACAAGGAACCTTGCACATAAAAGCCTGAAAAAACACAGTCACAATGCTTAAAACATGGACACATTCTGAGAAATATGTCCTTAAGCAATTCTGTTGTTATATGAACATCACAAAATGTTTATCACAAACCATATGATGAATGTACAGTAGGCTGTACACCTAATGTAGATTTTATATATATATATATACACACACACACACACACACACACACATATATGCATAGCCTAGTGCTTCCAAGGCCATGATGGGCAAAAACTGAAATAAAACCAGAACCAAGCACAAAAGAAAATGGGCTGGAGAGATGATTCAATGGTTATGACCACAGGTTGCTCTTGTCAAGGTCCCAGATTCGGTTCCCAGTACCTACATGGTGGCTAACAAGTCTGTTACTCCAGTTCCAGGGGATCTGATGCCCTCTTCTGCCCTCCATGAGCATGGCATGCACATGGTATGCTTATATACACGCAGGCAAAGCACATACACATTAAAAAAATTTTTTTTTTAATTTAAAAGGCTAGACATAGTGGTGCATGCCTTCAATCTCAGCACCCGGGAGGCAGATACAGAAGGATCTCTGTGAGATGAAGGCCAGCCTGGTCTACATAGTGAGTTCTAGGCCAGCTAGTGCTATGGGGAGACTCTGTCTCAAAAAGACTAAAAATAATCTTTTTCTTTTTAATAGAAAATGGCATAATTAAGACACAAAATAAACACGACACATGAGGTTGCCACCAGCATAATTACTGCATGTTCTTTCACAGTAAATGTCTTTTCATAAGTAGGAATTGACTCAAAAATAACAATTAAAAAGTACAGTAATGTTTGTGACTTTTCCTAGAGGGACATGAATAAGCGTCTCTTTTTGCAGTTTGGGCACTGATGGCAGACCAAAGACAGACTAGGATTATGACCCAGTGAGTTCACTGGGTCACTTTACAGGAACAGAGGTGACTCAAAGACAGCTTCATCACCGTACACCCATCCCAACACTGGTGAAGACCCGTGAGAGACCCACGACGCATCTCTGGAGCCTTCTGCATGACTTGCAGACAACTGAGCAGGCTGAAGACCCTCTCCCTAGCAGTTATTACTGCTTACATAGCCTTGGGTAGGGCCTTGTGAATCTTGTAAATGTCAAGAACCTATCTGAGACTTAGAAGTTGTGTATTTCCTAAGACTAGAAAGTTTTGTTTTCTTGCTGAGTCTTAAGGAACCTCCCTTCAGGATGGAATGTTTTAATAATATATATAAACCCATAAAACAGTCACATACCATTTAATTACCAAATATTATGCACTGTACATAACTGCACATGCTGTCTGTGACACAGGGGCACAATTGAGGTTTGCTTACACTCTCATCACTGCAAGCATATGACTAATGTGTTTTGCTATAAATTGTAGTGACTATGATGTCATTTTCCATCTGTTTAATTGTATGGGACACCATCATACATGCATCCATTGCTGTCATTTCCTTTTATTTGAAATAATATTTATCATTATTTTTTGCGTTCACACACACATACACATGCCACAGTATGTGTGCTGCGTGTGTAGATCAGAGGACAACTTTATGGAGTCAGTTCTCTCTGTCCACCCTTACAATGTATTTCAGGCATTATATTTGGTCATCAGGTTTGTGTGGTGTTCTAGTTTGCCTTCTGTTGCTCTGATAAAACTCTGACCAAAACCAACTTAGGGCCAACGGGTTTATTTCATTTTACAAATCACAGTCTATCATCAAGGGAAGCCAAGGCAGGAACCTGGAGGCAAGAACTGGAGTAGAGACCATGGAGTACCACTGCTTACTGGCCTGCTTCCCCAGGCTTGCCCAGCTACTTTTGTTATACAGCTCAGGTCCACCTGCTCAGGGGACAGGACAGTGGGCTGGGTCCTCCCACATCAATTAGCAATAAAAACAATGCCCCCACTGACATGCCTACAAGTTAGTCTAATGGAGGAAATTCTTCAGTTCAGGTTCCCTCTTCCCATACGACACAAGTAGCAAGTTTTTATCCACTGTTGAATCCGACCAGCTCCTGACCACCTTTTCTTATGTTGCACACGACTGTGTTTTCAGGAGGAAGACAGACATGGAGGCTATAGCTCCCATGACATGTGGAAGCCTAGTCACTATGATTTTACTTTCCTGGTGTTGAGTAGGTGTGTCCTCAGAGACAGTCACTCCTCCCACCCAATCAGTCATGAGGGGTGGGTCTAAGGACAGATGCTGAGGAGCTGAGAAGCAGCTGAGAACTCTGTGAAGGGCTGAGGACACTGGGAAAAAGGGGAGAGTCTTAGCAAACTGGGCAAGGACAACTAGCCAGCCAATGGTGGGTGGCAGGTTTCAAAGCTTAGCCAAGATGTAAAACCAGGGTGAGCATGTCTTTGTAAGTAACCTTTTCCCAGAGAGCGTGTGCAGGTCTCTCAGGGGAGAACTTGGTGTAACACTGACACTAATTCTTCTTCCCTCTCTTGACAGAATTCTTGAACAATTGTCATATACCCATTAATGCTTTGTGGCAAATCAAGGGCCTAGAGACAAAACAAAATCCACAGTGTTGGGAGCAGTTGCTGGCCAAGTAGCTAACCAGGAAGCTGGTCAGAGTGCCTATATGTCAGAGCTGGGTAAGGCAGTTAGGGCAGATAGCTGACACCATAAATTATATAGGAAATCTCCACAGTGGACTAGAGTCAAACAATGCTAAACTAGTGCTTGCTTTGCCAGCACATACACTAAAATTGGGATGAAATAAGAAAGATTAGCATGCCCATACACAAGGATGGCAAGCAAGTTCATGAAGTGTTCTATTTTATTTTTATTTTTATTTTTATTTTATGTGTATGCATGTTTTGCCTGCATGTAGGTAAGTACACCCATGATGTACAATGCCTGTGGAGGACAGAAGAGGCTGTTGGATCCCTTGGGTTATGGACAGTTGTTAGCTGCCATGTGGTTGCTGGGATTCGAACCCAGGTCTTCTGCAAGAACAACCAGTGTTCTTAACTGATGAGCAATCTCTCCAGCCCCAGTTCTATATTTTTTAACACAGAGACCCACAACTGGTCAAAGTGTAAAGAATAAGAGACCGTAGAGTGTTCTGTCCTAAATGGGACATCTATATCACATCTCTGAAGGCTGAGGAATCATCAAGGAAGAAGGGCTAGAAAGATTTTAAGAGCCAGAGGCAGTGAATAACTACAATGAGCAGTTACACATATTAACCCACAGTGCTTGTGATTGTATGTCCAAGTCCCATAGCAGATCAGGCCAGACAAAACCCTAGCATGGTGGGGGCAGGGGGTGGAGATGAAACCCCAGCCCTAGCTAAGGTACTATTGGCAATTGATAATTGATAGCTGCCGGAAGAGGGAGAGTCAGCTTTCTTTAAGGTCGTGACCCCTGGTAGGTAGATCACACTCTAGGGAATGGCCCCAAACCCAAGAGTATTTAAGCAATACAAACTGTACCCAATGGACTTTAAAAAAAAAAAAAAAAAAAAAAAAAAAGGTCACAAAGTTGGGTGGGTGGAGAGGTGAGGGTGGATTTGGGAGGAGTTGAGGGGTGTAAATATGGTCAAAATACATTGTATGATATTCTCAAAAGAATCAATAAAAATACTATTAGAGAAAAGAAAAAAGGAAAAGCTAAACTAGCCACCTGCTGACCCAAACGCTTACACCTCTCCTAGTCCTAGGAGGGTGAGAGAGATAAGTGCTGTTTCATTTGCTCTAAACCCATCCTTAGCTGGGTTATGGTGGTGAATACCTGTAATCCCAGCATTCAGAAGGTAGAGGCAGAAAGAGCCCAAGTTGGAGACCTGTTGGGCTACATAAGGAGCCTTTGTTCCAACTCCCTCCACCCTAAAACAAGCATTTCTGTCACTATGTGCTCAACAAGAGAAATACAAATATATCCCCTTTGATATTTTCTAGCAAGCTTATACGTCTCCTGTTAGTTTATATCTTTCCAGCAATCTCCACAACAGATCCACACTCCTCCCTGCCTGAACACTGCCCTGAGTATGACCAAGTGCTTCCAGCCCAGTGTGATTCCCCACACCCAGCACACAAGTCTCCCAATCTCCCATACACCCTTTACACAAGCAGACAAGGCCGTGTGTAAGCCTTCTAGCTGCCAGGTCTTCAAGGCTTTCCAGAGCAAAACTGTCTAAATAGGCACCGAGGGGAAGAGGTTATCATGCAGTGAGGAAACTTAGTAGTAATCAGAAGCTAACAGTAGAGAAGGTAAACTGTCATCACCCCATAGCCACCAACCACCCAACAACTACAAGCATCATGCAGCACCTGTCACCTCCTATACGGAACATGAGGCACACAGGACTATCTCTCCCTGATGCCTGTGGGTGTTCCCACAGCCAAGCCATGAAGAAAGGTATGCGTGGATAAGAGATGCTGGAAAGGCTGCTTCTTTAACACTGCAGAGGCTGTGATTACTATGAATCAGAATTAAAAACCTTCACCTTTGACTGGCTTTTTTACAGGGTCTGACTCTATAACCCAGGCTGGGCTCAGTTTTGTGGCGCTCCTCCTGCCTCAGCCTCCCAGAAGCTATGCTTACAGATGTGAGCCACCATACCTGTCTTTCCCGACTTTCTGAATCAGCAAAAGCATTTTCAAATCTCTTATATCTTAAAGACTTATTAGTAAAAAAGAAATCAGTGACTTCATCTAATATCTGCCTCTTTATTCAACGTAAAGGTATGCTCCACTATTGCGTTGCATATCTAAATGTTAATAGCCTACATGTTGCACTTTAAAGGATAAGATGGAAGAGAACAACAGAAAAGGCAATGAGCAGATTAACTGGCGTTTTCCTCCCATGCCTGTTTATTCTTACTTATGAGACTATAAGCTCACTTCCCCCAAAGTAAAGAGTCCCAGGAGGACCTGGTATATTGCCTTATACTTAGCATGTCTTCAGTGAATAAGGGATAAGTGAATGAGCAGACCCTACTCATTACCAAAAAGCTTAGAACACATTGACTATAGAAGTCATTGACAAGAACATGAACTTTCTATGAAATAAGCTCCAATAGCACTAAAATCTTAGAGGTGTTTATATATGGGAAAAACTGATTCCTTTTTAAAATAATCATCATCTTTGTGAGGCAAAGATGGAGGATATCTCAGGTAGTGAAGAATGACTTTGAACATCTGACTATCCTTCTCCACCTTCTGAGTGCTGGGATTACAGACATGAGCTACCACACCAAATTCATGTAGTACTGGGGATTGAACCTGCATGCTATAAGCACTCTACCAACTGCCCTATACTGTCAGCCCTGGCAACTTACTTTATTTTGAAAAATAAATGCCCATGATAAGCATCAACATCAGTAGGTGCAGTGGGGCAGGATGAGGAAAGGAGGCTGTGATTGCATTCTCTTGATATCTGACACAAAGAGAAAATCAAATTTCCTCCATGTGTTTTCTTTATAGTTCTTCACTAAAAAATGGAATAATACATTGCATCAGAAAGCAGAGCAATCAGTGAAGGATTAAAGGGGCAGCTGACCTCTGGGTCTTGGGTCGAGCCGCCAGCATAACCATTCCCTAGGACAGTCTTTCTCTGCAGCTCCCTGATCAGTCCCTCTCTCCCCAAGAGACCTGCAAACCAGTGGCAGCCTAGCAGACAGAGCTCCCATGGCAGTGTATGGGACAGAGGAGCCAAAGCACAGAAATGCAAGCTAGAGTCAGGTTGCTCAGTCTCCATGAATGAGAGTTCTGGAGTCATCAGTGCTATGGCTGGAAGGGCGGATTTCCAGAAGCATATCAGGATAAAAAAGACAAGTTCTACCTCTCAGACACTGGATACCCCTGCTCTCTCTAAAGCCTGCTAGTCCCTATATAACTTAGTATTTCTCTATCATCTCAGACACTTAAGTTTTGAAGAGGGAAAAGTTTCCTCTTTGGGTACTTTACACAAGTTCTTATTCAGTCTAACTTGACAAGTCATCCCACCCACGAGCCCCAACAGTCACATAGAAAATGGTCCTGCACAGGACATCAGTCCCTGATGTCCAAAGTCAGGAATACCCTCTTGGGGATGGAGAGATGGGTCAGTGGTTAAAAGCATGTACTGCTCTTCCAGAGGACCTGAGTTCAATTCCCAGCATCCACATCTGGTTGCTCATAACCACCTGTAATTCCAGCTCCAGGCACATCTGATGCCTCTGGCCTCCCTGGGCACCTGCACTCAGGTGTACAAACCCCCACACAGACATGTATACACACATAATTAAAAATAATTTTAAAGATAAAAATCTTTAAGAAAAAGAATATACTCTTCCTATGACAGTGCAGATGGGCCATAGGACAAACCAAGGGGAGTCCTCTGGAGGGTCTGTGGCCCTCATTTGAGCCTGAGATGATTGCTTTAATAAAGGATGAAACATATTTGTTTTGATCTGAGAGCTTCTTGAGTAAAAAGCCTCTTGGGACCAGTGGAAGCAAACCACACCTGAAAAGAACCTCACTGTCATATTAGAACCCAGAGTGACCAGCAGCCATCCCTAGAGAGTGATAGCATTCAAGCTCTGACAGGCCCCACAGTGACAATTAAACCCTGTGAAACAATCGCCCAACTAATCAAAGGGGCAGGACTTCGTGGGAAATGTATGATCCACAGCTTGCTGAGAAGCATATTCAATAAACAGGTTTCACAATCTGTTAGAAGCCACACTGAGGGCACTGCTTGTGGGAACACTGCCCTGTGGGCCCAGGGCTCTAGGACATGAACTGGGAGTTGGAGAGCTTGTGAGAGCTCAGAGGGATGGGCAGCAAGAGCCGGGTTACAAAGCTGTGCAGCAGGTTTGAGCTCCCAGCAAGTACTCAGCCCATGAACACCCTGGGAAAGTTTCTCATGCATGGGAACTTCGTTCTGCCCTCAGTGCCTAAGCCTGTTTTTCAAAATGACACTCACTAGAGTTCTTCCCTGATTAACTGTAGCACAGAAGAGTGATACATAATACACACTGCTTTTAAAAACTGAAAACACACATACATAGAAGTACTTACACGTACATACACACAAAGTAGGAGCAATTACCTGAGAACATAAACATTCTTAACAGTTTTTAAATTTTCCTGAACATGGAGTTAGATTTTTTTAAAAATCTTGCGTTTATTCATTTATTTGTTTGTTTAGTGTATGTGCTGTGGTGTGCATATGTGTAGAAGTCGGAGGACAGTTTACAGGAATTGGTTCTCTCCTTCCACCATGGGGGTGCTAGGGGTTGCCCTTCCATTGTCAGGCTTGGTGGAAAGTGCCTCTACCCGCTGAGCCATCCCACTGGTCTTAGGAGTCTTAACCAAATAATGTGAGAGCTGGAGACAGGAGCAGCTCTGTGAGCATGGAGGCTTTCCTTTCTAGTCATGTTGTTCAGCTTTCTGAGATAAAACAGATAATGTATACATGATATTTAAATGTATCAAATCATAATGTTGTCATATGTATATAAATTATGTGTACATCATGCAGACATTAAAATATCCATTGCTACGTTTCCACCAAAATTTGAAATTCAACCCCCACTGTGATATATTCAGAGATAGGAACACTACATAATGAAAACTGCTTCTAATTTTCTCTAATATAACAAATGAATAATATTTCATCCTAAATAAAACTCTAAAAGTTTCTAAGTGATCAAATTTAAGAAGGGATGGGGCTAGGTAAGATGTTAAGAGGTGATCGGGTTATGAGGGCTCTGTCCTTGAACATATTGATAAGCTCTAGGAGGAATACCTTTAGGTAAAAGTGACCTCTCCTGGGCACCCTTGTTCTGCGAGGCC